TTTAGTATTTTGGTAAAATGAGTTCCCATCTTGTGATGTCTAATAAAAAACAAATCTTATTCCACAGCCTGACCCACTCCCTATAGGGACCAGAAACTCGACTGTATGGATAAAATGTTGAAAAATATTTAATTACAGCTTTTGTTAAAGTAAACTGATTTGAACAAAATTTTAAACCATTGATTATGATCATGTTTATGGAAATATGAAATGGAAAGAAAATACTACATTTTTTAAATGAACATAATTTTTAAATAAACAGGAATTATTTACCTGTCGTTAAACTAACCAGGAAAACACATGTATTTTATGACTTCACCATTTGGAGGGTTGTGGGAGCCCGTTCTCGGGTTCCTCGTGGCTTTACCCAGCAGGTCCACATAGAGGATGATCAGGACCACGGGCCTGAGTGCAGGGGTCTGAGATGGTCTGCACTTGGCTATGCTGGGGGAGGTCTTTTGCTCCACCCCTTGGTGTCTCTATAAATACCCTGGGGCAGAGACAGTCGGGGCCCATTGGAAAAGGTTCCAGGCCCTCTCGAGGCTACCCTTTATTTTCTATCTGTTTATCTCCACAAGATTCTCCGAAATAAATCCTTCTATCTAATATTTCCTGCTGCTCGCACTCAAGAAAACTCTGGGGAGCTGTGGGGTTGGTGGGTAAACGCCCCACAGAGGGTATGTTCTTTAACTCATAACCCAAATGGAAGGGCTCCGAAGGGGTCACCTGTGCCTGGGTACCCTTCCATTCTCAATGTGCCAATCTGTCACATCGTTTTACTAATTTCGTGACATAACAATATCATACATTCCTGACAAAACATCTTTAGAGCTTGGTTTTATTCTATTTTTTGTGTACGTAGAGCACGAGCAGGGTGGTGGAAGACACTGGGTGTCCCTCTTCGCCACTCTCTGCCTTATTCCCTTGAGACGGGGTCTCTCGTGGAACATGCAGTTCACTGATTGCCTAGCCTGGCTGGCCAATGAACCCCAGGTATCTGCACGTTGCTTGTATATATTGTATTTAGTTATTGTATTTATTGTATATAGTTTTTCTTATATTAGTTAAAACTTTTTTATTATTAGACAAAAAAAGGGGAAATGTGATGATATTTTATTTGTGCTGAAATGTGGTAATATTTTATTTGTATGTTAATACATAAAGTTTGCCTGGAGATCAGAGGAAATAGCAAGCCATTTGAAGTAAACACAAAAGTCAGGCAGTGGTAGCACATGCCCTTAATCTGATCACTTGACAGGCAGGGTCCTGTGTGTTCAAGGCCACAGTAGGGAAAGCCAAGTGTGGTGACATGCGCCTTTAATCCCAGTACCAACCATAGAGACCTGGAGGTCTGTACAGACAGGCAGTGACAAGGAAGTGAGGTAGCTGGGCTAAGAGCCAATGAGAGAGCAGAACAGCAAGGCAATAAAGGCGTGGGTAGACAGGAAGTAGCTCACTTTGGAAGCTGCAGCATGGTGAGGTGAGATTGGCTATTTCTATTTCCCTGATCTCTCTAAGGCTTTCATCCCTATATTTGGCTCAGTGATTTTTATTTAACAAGACCGCTTAAAAATTCATCTACAGCACGTCTCTGTCTCTCCAGAGGTGGGATTACAAACGGGGACCACCATGCCCTGCTTTGTTATTCGGGTTCTGGGGCTCAGACTCACATCCTGTGTGTAAACGGGTTACTGCTTGAGCCCACCTCTTTCCCACTCCAATCTGAACTCCTTCAAGAATGGAATATACAACCTCTTGGGAAAGAATCTAAGGAAGCAGTCTTGGGGAAAGTTTACAACATATCACTTTTTCTTTTATTTGTATAATTATTAGGCTTTTGTCTACTGTGTGCCTATGTACGGGAGGCGGGGGTGGGGGGAGTCGGAAGACAACCCACAGGACGGTTCTCCCACCACATGGGCAGGAATTGAACTTGGTTATCAGGCTGAGCAACGGACCTTTATCCACGGAGACATCGCTCTGTCCCATTTTTTTTCTTTTTCCTCTGAACAGAAAAGACTCCAGAGCTAGCACAGCTACTGTTATTTATGAGTTGTGTAAGTGTGATAGAGTTACTCCATTTCTCTACACTATTTACTTAAAGGGGCTAGTCTGCTCGTGTATCTCTGGAAGATTCAATAAAATAATCCATGTGACTTCAAGAGAATGAGGCAATTCATAGGCATTTATTCTTTACTAATAGTTTCCCATATTTTTCTTATATACTTCCAGAGATGCAAAAACAACTTTACAGGCTAAAACAAACTAAGAATTGTCCCAAGATTTATGAAACCATAGTGAGAATTTACAAATGTTACACACGAGAAAAACCAACCACTTCATCACAGCCCAAGCCAACGAAACCACAAGAAGCACTATTAGTGTTTGGGTGGCGACCACACCTTGACGTTAGTGACAGACACTGGGAAACTATGGTAATGCCAATCAAAGAACTTGATGGCTGAAATATAACCCAGCCACACTCAAATTATGTCTTTCCACACTCAACAGATTCCTCGGGACACAAATGAGTGAAGCAAGAAGAATGTGACACCCTCTCCTCATCCCTACCCGCCCCTCTCCACCCTCCCACCCCCAAGGAAATGACAGGAATATGGTACGGGTCTACTGGACTGCTACTGGACTATCTGAGTGGACAATGTTACCAATGACAACATAAAGGAAAGAGATGCCCCTTCCAACACGATTCTCCATGAGGTATGATTACTCAAAGAAGTTTCAAAGCATCTTCCTTTCAAAATACTGAGTTTCCTGTACATCTTTTCAATCACCCCTGTAAGACAGCTGACAGTTACTGCCATATTTCAGACATGAAAGATGCAATGTGCAGATATATTAAAATCTTATCCCTAGTCCATAACATGTCTTCCAGTTCTGAATTAGCTTGTACTTCCTCAGGCTGGAAAGATGGCTCAGTGGTCAAGAGCACTGGTTGCTCTTGCAGAGTACCCAGGTTTGAGTCCCAGCACCCACATGGTGATCAAAATCATTCATAATTCCAGTTCCAAAGGATCTGAAGCTTTCTTCTGACTCCCATGAGTACCAAGCAGGCACACAATACACAGACATACGTGCAAGTAAAATACTCATACACATAAAAATAAAAAAATAAAAGATTGTACATCCTCAAATATTTCCAGTGGAGAGTCCCATACACATGTACACACACACACACACATAGTCATAAACACACACACAACACACAAGTGGATACTACAAATGAAACACATTTTCCGGAAGCAAATGGAAGAACTTCACAAGGTAATCAAAACCTAGATTCTGAAAAGAGGACAACTCTCATCTAGTTTAAATTATTCACTTACAGTTGGGCACTGAAATCCTGGCTTTCATTCCAGGGTATGAAAAGTTCTAAGATCATTCAAGAATATAAAATAATTATTTTTGTATACTTCCATATATTAACATTTTTGAAGTCTAAAGAAAGTCCCAGAATACACAGAGAAAACAAGCCAGGTATGGTGGCATTCGCCAATAATCATCTTAGCACTGGTAGAGACTAGAGGGTCCCTAGGGCGGCTGCCCAACTATCCTAGACAAATCAGCAAGCCAATGCCAAGAAGAGACCCTGTCTCAATAAATAAAGTGGATGGCAACCAAAGAATGATACCTCGGGCTGTCCTCTGGCCTCCACATGTACACACATACACACACACACACACACACACACACACACGCACACGCACACGCACACATGCACGCATGCAGACATGGACACCCCCACTCGCATGTGTCCACACACACATACACACAACGTTTTACTTCTTCCGAGGCCCTCTGGCAGAACAAGGCACTGCAGTGCTCACGGTTTCTATCAGGATTTTCCAGAGCCTGTGTCTGCTAATTAGTGATGTCAATTGACAAAGTCAGCGAACTTTCCAAGCTCCACTTTTCTTCGTTTCACAGCCGTTTTTCAAGTTCCAAGAAATAATGTAAAAGCAATTATTTGGATGATTGTGAAAGTAATCAATTAATTGTGCTTCTTTCAGATCCACCTTTAATAACCGGTACATGGAAAATGAGGAGTAAGCTCTGGTTTACTCTAACAGCTTAAGCTGCTGGAACTGAGAGTGCGGGCCTTGCCACTGACTTAGACAACTCAGAAAGCGCCTTGGGGCAGATCTCTGAGGAGAGCAGAGGGACAGGCATTCTCAACCACCACAGCCTTGAGAGCAGACAGGCAGAAACGAGTACATCACAGTGAGGTTGCGGCACCTTTGAGGGATGAGGATGGACTCCACCTGCCATGGGAAGTAAAGGGCACTCTAATCAGTGAGTGCTGGGAACTCTGGGGTAGGATCTGCTGAGTACAGTCAGCAGCACTGGGCTGGGAAGATGTTCAGGGTCTCAAGAATGTTATAGACAATGGAACTGACCAGGTGAACACTCATCAAACAGGTGACTGTATAAAAGCTTATGGGAACAAGATTTCTCAGTAACGTGCAAAAAGGACACAAATATGGGAAGGAGGATGTGAGGATAACACCGGAGGTTCTGGATCATAATAGAGATTATCTGTGAATTCAAGAGCTCTAAGATGCATGCATACATGCATACATACATACATACAAAGGAAGAGGCAGGCAGGCAGGCAGATGGAGACACACCTATACATGTGTATTCAGGAATGTTGTGTCTATGCGTACACTCAAGCATTTGCAAGGTCTGACCACTGAGCAAGCCTAGCAACAGCAGCATCTCAACAGCGGTGAGTGCATGTGGCACCCAGATCTTAGTTTCCCCGATGAAAGGGATCAGAGCTCCTGGAAAAGAGGGTCAAGGCTTTAAAGAGTCAAATAAGCCCGGATTATCTTTCATAACAAAGAAAAGTTCTAAAGAATGATGGGAATGTTGAAAGGACACAGGAGCTGGTTTGAAGTAGCTCCCACGGGCCAAATATCAGAGTATCAAAAATAATAATGGCATTATGACCTAACAATGGAAGGGAGCCTGTGAGAGGAGGAAGGAGAGGGACGGGGAGAAAGACACATGAGTTCCTCTACACAGTCACACGTATGTCCCGAAAGCAGAGGGAAACCAAAGGGAGGGAGTGGCCTAGGGGGGGTGGGACAGTGTGTGGATATGATAGAGCATGAGGGTGTGCACTATGAAAATGTCATAGTGATAGTGAAAGATCACTGCCAAGCATAAAGGAAATCTGTGAGTTCTTACAGAAAGGAAGGAGAGAAGGGAGGGGGAAACAGAAGCGGGAAAGGAGGGAAGTGGGCAGGGCGATAAGTTTAGAAGAAATGATGTAACTATGAATTGCCATTTGGCAACAACTACTGGAATAAATAACTGAAGAATTACCAATGGATGATGAGATTCTGGATACAAGTTGGATCAGAACTGGGATATTAACATAGTCTGAAATGATAGCTATTCATAATCTACATTAACTACCTATTAAAATGAAAAATATTTACTAATTTTATGCTGGAGAAATTTGGCAGAAATCATCCTAACCCAGTAAGATTTAACGTCCTCAAGAACTGGACAGATTAACAACCTGTGACCCCCAAAGAACAGGGAGAAACTTCAGCATGTATCCCATCAAAAATACATAACTTGAACCTAGTAGACGAAAACTCCAAACCAATCTGAGCTTGGGGATCTGTGGGGAGCCCCGGCTGGTCTCCAGCTTGCTCTATAGCTGAGGATGACCTTGAACTCCATCCTCCTGCCCCACCTCCCATGGGCTAGGTCTGCAGGCGCGCACCACCACCACTCTTGTGTCATGAGATACTGGGGCTCAAACCTAGGCTTCCTGCATGCTGGACAACCCCTTTCCCAACTGAGCTACATCCAGTCCCTGAAATACAGCTTACAAATCATTAATAACAGAGGCCTGTACTCTTCAAAAACAAGAACGGAGCAGGGGCCATTCCAGTGAAGAAGAAAAAAAGATTCGTAAAGATGCCATTGGGCGCCTGAAACATCTGAACGCAGTCTGTTCATCTAATGGTCAAACACGACATAATTCTCTGGCTTGGCGTAATCTTGCCTTCACTGCTTGAGAATACACAGTAAGGTATTCAAGGGCAATGCGTCAACAGGTACATAAATTACTCTCAAATAGTTTATAAAAAGTATACATAATTGTATGTATATACATATCGTGTGTGTGTATGTGTGTGTGTATGTGTGTGTGTGTGTGTGTGTGTGTGTGTGTGTGTGTGTGTGTGTACACAAGCAAAAAAAGGAAAACAAAAAAGCTAAAAAGACAACAATTCTATAACAGGAGAAACTGAGTGCTGCATAAACTTGAGTTCAGCACACTATTTTTGTAATTTTCTGTAAGTTTAAATAAATTACTCAAAACTAAAACTTAAAACTGAATTTGATATTTTTTATAGTTTATTTAGAATCTAAGTATTTTTCTTATGGGAGAGCTTTTGTGACCACCAACCAGTCTGTGGTGCTGAAAGTTTCTGAAACATGGTTTTATATGGAACATATTTTATAACCTGCTTACCCTGATGTTACAGCTTCCTTTCTGTGTTTTTACATAGAGGTCTATGACGCAATTTTTAATGGCCATACAATCTTCCATCATACAGATGAAAAATGTACTCAGTCATTTTTCTGTTGTTAGAAGCCTAAGGTTCCAGATTTGGGGCTGTGATAAACAATCCTTCATCGAAGTCCCGACAGGAAGGACCTTGCCTACCTCATCACTCTATCCCCTGGAGCCTTTATTATTGTTTTTTCTGTTCACACACTTCCAAGTAATGTATGTTGATTGTTAAAAATTCAAACATTACAAAACTGAGAATTCCTCATTTAAAGAGAAAGAAAGAAAGAACAATTCTTGACACGTACCAGAAAACTAATAATTTGGAAGGCTAATATAAAATACGACTGACAAATAAAAACAGAATTCAAACACCACGACGGCAAATTAGTCAAATAATGCAAAACTTAACAAAACACACACACAGCGAAGTGCCTGGCGGTGAGGTCACGTGAAATCTGATAATAAATGTTGTGACTTATAATGAGGCTTTCAGGATTTTGAAGGGGGTGTACCAGAAGCCCAGGATATATCACACTGCAGGTACTTAATCAATATTGTCACACAACTCATAGGAGTCATCTCCAGCCTGTCCCTGGGGTCCCTCCCCCTACCACCATGCTGACTAGACGTGGAAGTCAGAAGCCAACCTCTGCCCATCATTGCTGGCTGGAAACCAGGTGAGGCTGAGTGGGCGGAGTGTCCGTGACAGCAATCAGAGAACTCAGTCTCCCCGGAGGTCTCTGTGCATCAACAGCTTGGGGGCGGGGGGGGGGGGGGGGCCAGGAAGCAGAAAGAGTCCGATTGCATTGTGGTCTTGTTTTGCTTTTTGGTTTTGTTTTGTTTTGTTTTTCCTTACATCTATTTTTTTTAAACTGATAAATAAAAATACAAAAATTGCTCCAGTTAATGGGGTACCACGAGATATTTCTTTCAATGAATGTATGTTTTGTTTGATATTTATGTCAAAGCAGATATATCTATCTCCCCAGACACTTGTCATTTCTTTACAGTGTCCTTTCAGCTTTTTGAGATGCAGTACCTAACTGCTGTCCACAGGCTCCCTACCATGCAACAGCTCCCCCCAGCTGCCCGCTCTTAACTCCCTAACCGTGACGAACCTTTCCCTCCGTCTGATGACAGACTATTTCTGCAATGCTGCCCCCACTCCACCACCAGGAGCCATAGAATTTCCTTCTCTATTGTCAATCTCACAGCAGCTGGGAACCCACAGTATTTTCTGGAAAAGCATAGTTCTAACTATAGAAAACCACGCCAGTTTATCTTGCACATATAAAGTAAGACTCCAAGTCTTTAGATACCATGACTCCTGCCTAAGTCATAAAGCAATTTCCTTTTGTTTCTTGCTATTCAAAGGGAGTTTAAGAAATAATTGCTAGTGAACATATCTAAGCAATTATTTTTGAGTACTAGAGAGATGTTCAACACTGCACAAGAATGTCCTGAAAATAATGCTTAAGATAATTATATGTACAGTAAAACACTTAATAGAAAATTGTACAGCAACCTTTCATACCAAAAAAGTCATAAAATGTTCAAGAACAAGGTTTCATCCGCCAGAGCAATTAATTAAACTTGTAAGGGTAAAATAGAGATGGGCTTTATAAATCACCCTGCAATAAAATAACCCACAAGAAATAAAACACACACATTTTTGCCAATACTATTGAAGTGTTGAAGAATCATAGCCTAAAAACAAAAGCCACGAAAGCATCCAGCTGCTGCAAGTGTCTCTTGCCTCTCTCTGTTATAAACAACCTGGGAACAGAGGAACTGGATTATGGATTATGTGATTCCATTCCCAGAAAGTATCTATAGATTTAGAAATAGCTTTTCTGATGAGCTATTATTATTAATAGTTCTATAAAGGAAAACAAAAATAAGTTCTTTTGGGGGTCTCCCATTTTTCTTGTGCTTAAAAAAATAAGTAAATAACAAAAGGCTGATTATTGACCCAATTTCAGACACTCAGAGTCCAGCTAATGTGAGGAAATGAAAGACGCACTGGCTTTGCCCTTGGAATGCCATTCTCTCGCACTGAAACGAGAGAGTTGCTAAGTGTGTGCTACAAACCAAGCTTGGAGACCAACGAGGTGACCATCTGAAAGATGGAGATGATGAGGCCATGTGACAGAAGACAGACAATACCCCCAACTGCTACACTGAACACATTATACCAGGAAATGTCAGTGTCTGGACCACCTAAGAACCATGACCACAGATGCCCCATGGACATTTGGTCCCCAAAGCCAGAGAAGGGAGCTCTGGTCCTAGGCTCACAGAAGTAGACTCCTAAGCAAGGTCCAAATTTGAGAACATCTCCATGTCACTGGTAAATATATCAGGTATATCTGGGTAGCAGAAACAAGACCACTCCTATGTATATCAGCTACGGAAGGCATGTAATTTATCAAAGCCTGCTCATACAGTTTATGTCTGATGAGGGCCTTGTGGCAAAAGCCTTCTTCAGAAAAGCTCTCCAAGAAATGCAATGCAATTTAAGTGTCAACGTCAACACTAATGTGCGTGTGTGCGTGTGTGTGTGTATGTGTGTGTGTGTGCGTGCGTGCGTGCGTGCGTGCGTGTGTGTGTGTGTGTGTGTGTGTGTGTGTGTGTGTGTGTGTGTACTATAGTACATAAACCATAGTATAGGAATATTACTGACACTAAGAATTCCAGAAGCCTTGAGAGATTCTCATAGGGGCAGGAGACTCTTACTCCATCACATCCAAACCTCGGTTCTGACTGTACCAGAACTGGTCCAGGAATGTGTGGGAAGGGTGTAATAGGCTTTCTTGAACCACCAGCCAGCTCCCAAATCATGGCATGGAGACTTATTAATTATGAATATTCAGTCTTAGCTTAGGCTTGTTTCTAGCTAGTTTTTTTTTTCTTTATAACCCATTTCTATTCATCTGTGTACTGCCCTGAGGCTTGTTTACCTTATCTACATTCTGTCCATCCTACTTTCCGGCTTCCTTGGTGTCTGGCTGGCTGGCCCCTGGTGGGCTGGGCCTGTCAGGCTGGCTGGCTCTCCTTTCCTCTCTGCTCGCCAGGCCCGCCTGTCCCTCCTTGGCTTAGTTATTGGCCGTTCAGCTTTTTATTCGACCAATCACGTGCCTTGGGCAGGCAAGGTGAAACAGCAACACTTCTTTACATAATTAAACAAATGCAGTATAAACAAATGCAATACATCTCTACATAATTAAACAAAAATTCTATTCCACAACAGAAAGGAGCTGGATCAAAAACTTGGGAAATGTTTGTCAGGCAATTCTAACAGCCAACAACACCCCCATCACTGTGTCCTAGGTGACAAACAGATATATATTTGTCAGCATGAGCAGGAAAAGTAACGTCAGGACAGCTCAGTGTGAATGAGTTAAACATGACTGATAGGAAAAGGCTTAACAGAAAAGAACCACGCTACAAAAAGTGCTATATAAGTAGAGACCCCAGCAGTCAGCGCTGCTCAAGGTAGGACGCATCACCTCAGGGATTTCAGTGTTTCCTGAATGCCTCACCGCATTCACAATAACACAACCACCAACAAAATCATCCTGAGTAATCAAGACAGCACTAAATCTAGTAAGATTTCTTTTTTAAATTGTTAAGAGGGAACAGTAACTATTCTAACCCATTTCTTTCCCATGTGGCTAGATTCCCTGATTTCAAGAGGACTCACTGCTTCTGAGCGCCTGCTTCTCTGGAAATGATGCTGAATAGAAAGGTGGACAGGAGTTGAGAACACTCATAACAACCAGGCAAATGAGGATGCTAGTGCTTGGAGGTCCCAATGTAATGGAACCAGGCTCTCTACAGGGGTAGAGAAGTGATATGATGCCTGCCTCTGGCCTCCTTGGGCACCAGGCATGCCTGTGACGCATATACATAAATGCAGGTAAAATACTGACACAGATAAAAAATAAAAGGAACAAAGGATAAGAACGGGAGTGGGGTGGTCTGAATAAGAATTGCCCCCATAGACTCCTGTATTTGCATGCTAAAGGAGTGGCACTATTTAAAAAGATTAGGAGGTGTAGCTTTATTGGAGTAGGTATGGCCTTGCTAGAGGAAGTGTGTCACTGGGGGTTGGCTGTGAGGCCAAGCCAGGGCCAGTGGCTCTCTCTTTCTGCTGTCTTTGGATCCATACTTCCAGATGGTTCCAGATACTGTTCCAGCACCAAGTCTGCCTGAGTGCCTCCATTCTCCTTGCCATGATGACAATAGAGTAAATTTCTCAAATTATAAGCAAATCCCAATTAAATGTTTTCATTTAACTCATTGCCAAGAGTTTCCATGGTCATGGTGTCTCTCCTCACAGAGCCGAGAGCACCCAAGGTGGACCCATATGCTTCTGGATCATGAGATGTGGTCAGGAGGCATTCTAAATGGTTAGGTCAATTTCTGTTGTGCTTTACAAAGGGTAACATTTAATCTTTATTGTCCACTTGCTGGAATCTAGAATCACTCTAGAAAGAAACATCTGGGCACAACTGTAAGAGAACATCTAGCCACCCTGAATGTAAGTGGCAGGAGCCTTCCTCTGGGGCCCCACACTGACTTAAAAGGAGAAAGTGAGCTGAACACTGCATTTATCTCTCTCTCAATCACAACTTCAGATTTTGTTGTGATTTCTCTGCCATGATGGACTGTCTCTCAGACTGTGAGTCAAAATAAGCCATTTCTTCCTAAGCCATTGGGTATTTTGTTACAGCGATGAGAAAAGCAGCCAATACACAGAGTAACTTACGAAACGGAAAACACAGAGGAGAAGGCCCAAGGCACAGAACCGTAACAGCTGGTGGGCATTCCCCAAAATTAATATGAAACTCCTAACTCAGTAAACACCTAGTATAAAAACAGGGCCATGAATAGCACGACACGTAATCAAGCTGAGAATCAAAATGAAGACAAAACGCTGCAGTGGGGAAAGGCTTAAGTCACTGCTGGCTTCTACTTAGACATGAGTTTCCAGCACTAAATGTTCCTTTTCAATTTGGTTTGGGTCAAGAGGTTATTAACACCATAAAAAAAAGTTAATGGAAAAGTATGGTCTAGGACAAAAATGTGTTATTATATTTTGTGGAAATGCCTACTTTAGGGAAATTATTATCTCAAAAACAGCCATTCCTAAGTCTGTTAAAGGATAGCCAATTACATCAAAACCTATCTCCTATTGGGTTTTATTTTTCAATTAATAGAACTTGAGAGACAGAAGCACAAGTTAGAATATAAACAGCACATATATGTCTCCACTTGCTTATAAAAGACATATATTCCCAGATTTATTTAAAACATGACACATATTTACAATATCCACAATTCTGAAATCTGTGACGACAAGCAGATCAGTAGAATACACAAGAACAAGAATAGATATAAAATATGACTTTTAAGAAGGATTAAGAATACCCAAAGTACACATAGACAACAATACAAAAGGGGGGCACAAATGAAAAAAGATGGTTCTCAACTGTCAAGAACGGTATCGATAGGAGAGGGGCAGGAAATGGGAAAGACTGTGAAATGCAGCTAACGCTCCAAGCTGAAAACCACGTTTCCCAGCTTGACTTGCAGCCACTGGTGGTGGCCATGTAAGCGATTCAGTCAAGGCAACAGGATGCGCTAACAGGGTTTGGAGACTTTAAAATGGGGCAGGCCCTTCTTCCCGGCCTTGGAAGGGGAGGCGTGAAGGCTGGACCTTCAGAGACCACCTTAGACAATGGAGGGTCCCTACTGTGGTGGTAGACACACATGCTTCAGAACCAGAAGATGGAATTGGTCAAGGTCTCTGGCATGACACCTAAATACTTCCGTCTGAGCATTGTGTAACTAAACCACTGACGGAATCTCTGTCACCTCCTAACAAAGCACAAATGGTTCACGGGAGCTGAACAATGGAATCAGGGTTGACAGACAAAGGTTGACAGACAAGCCTAACAGTCTTCTCTCTCAGCCCTGGTTCCAATATCTGTAGTCTCAGTTAACAGGGATCAACTTCATCTGAAATTACTAAATGGAAGGTTCCAGAAATAAACAATTCGTTGGCTGTACGTGGCACCGGTGGTGAAATCTCATGCATCCCATTCTGTCCGGCCTTGGATGTGGAACATCTTTTGTCCGGCATGTCCAATTGTATGTGCCACCTGCCCCTTAGTCACTAAAGCCATCTTGGGTATCGGATACATCTCAGTTAACGGGGATGCATGGTGGCTGGCAAGATGGCTCAGTGGGTAAAGACGCCAACAGCCATGCCTGGTGACCTGAGTTCAATCCCCGGGCCACACATGGGGGAAGGAGAGACCTGACTCCCAAAGTTGTCCTCCGATCTCCAGCTGAGCCCTGGTATGTACACACGTCCTCATACACACACAAATAAATAAAAAATAAATGCACAGTGACCCACTGACCCTCCACACTTAAAATATGTGTTTTATTTAATATGTACACCTACCAAGAAACAATATATTATCTTGGTATTAATTTAGTTTCATTTAAAATGTTAGCTAAGTTACTTGCTTATGGCAATTTTTTTGAGAGTGTACTATAGTTACTTTAGTTATTATTAATGTCCTCATCTTTAGGATACAAGATATATACAAGAATAGATAAAATCCATTTGATTATTTCATACCTCGTTGTAAAAACAGAATCCTGTTACTGGAATGACATTATCTTATTTCAGCCTGGTGTGACAATGAAACACTAACCCTGAAGATGAATATGCAATAGCATTCACGGTAGTAAAAATACACTATTAATAGGCTTATTAATAGTGCACATCCTCCAAGTCCACAAAGATTAAGGTAAAAATGGTGACCTTCCCCAATATACTCAAATAAACCTTGCTTAGAAGGCTTGCCTGGAGTGATTTATGTATTGAACAACAAAACAGTACAGAATAGAAGTAACTATCCCCCAAAAGAAGCAAATTAATAACTTTTAAACTGATTTTACTGCACGGAATAACTATGCACCTAATTACACAAAGGGTCACAACAAGTTTCTGCAGACAGGGAACGGCCTAGACTTATTAGGGCCTCAAGAGAGCACTCTTAGCCATGTTTCCTCTGACATTTGACTTGTGATTTGGAACCTGATTCCCAAGTCACACTGCCTCCCTTCCAGATCCCCACATAACCCACCAGGAAGGTCTGGGGCCCCCTGGGAGCAAGGACCTGCACCCACCTTCCCAGCTGCCGGTCAGCACCAAGGTCCTGTTAATGACCACGTCGATTTCGGTAGCTCCATCCTCGACGGCCAGTCTGATCTCTTCCAATCGTGTCTTTAAATGAGTCTGTCCAGCTGGAAAGCCAGTGGCCACTGGGAGAGATTTAAAAGAAAGAAAACGGAGGGGGAGAAAATGAGGGGGGGGGGGGAAGAAAACACATTCAATTGGTCAGTTCCTAAGTCCAGCATTTAGAGAGGAAAGCATGAACGGTACCTTTACCATCACTCACAACACGAGACAACGTGCAGGGCAGAATGTGAGCGCACATCCGCTTTAGGGGCAATGGTGGCGTGACCCTCTCTGGAGGAGCAGAAGTTCAGTTGCTGCAGAGATGTTTGCACGGCACACTTAGTACGTTAGCTGACAGGAATCACATCACAGGTGGGGCTTTACAAGACAGACACTGGGTGAGTCAAGCTGGCTGCCCTGACTTACCCATTCGCCCCGATCTGATCTCGACTTCCCCGTGACTGGACTTAGTGAACTAGAACAACCAAATCATGAGACAGAGTTCCCGCAATGTCTCTCAACACAACCAGCCAGCAGCCGAGACCACGGAGAAGCCAGGCAGGAGAGAAAGCAGCTGTCCCCGCAGGAAGGGGCCGAGAATGCAGAAAGGAAGGACTAACACACACCTACGGCTTTGTGAACTAGAACCTTTCCCCATTCATCCCATCTCTGCGATCCTAACCACGCTTGCTGTCCTTCCCTACAGCTATAAGCTCCTCGGCTCTGCTATCGTAGGCCTGACATATTGCCCTGTCATGTAACTGAGGGGCTAATGCACTGAGATGGTGAAAACCAAGGGCCACAAAGGTGGAGCTGCCAACTGCGCTGGGAATCCTCTCTAACAGGAGACACACAAACAGGGCACAGGGGCCGCGGCAACGGCTCAGTGCTGAAGAGCACAGGCTGCTCTTGCCAAGGACCCAGCTTCGGCTCCTGGTACCCACACGGTGGCTCACAACTGTCTGCAACTGTCTCAGAGGATCTAACGCCTTCTTCTGGCTTCTGTGAGGGCTCACAGGAACTTGATTCCTAAGAACCCATGCAAGCACAAACATAAACATATAAACACACAAACATAAAAAATAAATCTAGGGGCTGGAGAGGTGACTCAGAGGTTAAGAACACTGGCTGTTCTTCCAGAGGTCCTGAGTTCAATTCCCAGCACCCATAGGGTGGCTCACAACCATCTGTAATGAGATCTGGCGCCCTCTTCTGGCCTGCAGGGATACATGCAGCCAGAACACTGTATACATAATAAATAAATAAATCTTATATAAAAAAAAAACTCAATCTCTGAAAGAATTAAAAAAAAAATAAATCTTAAAAAAAGATATAGTACATCACTTTTCATTAATAAAATAAGCAGCTGATCTTTATAAACTCTTTCTTTTCTTTTCTTTTCTTTTTGAGACATGGACTTTCCATGTAGTCCAGGCTGGCCTTGAACTAGCAGCAATCTTCCTGCCTCTGCCTCCTAAATGCTAGAATTACAGGTTTGTCCCACCATACCTGGCTCAGATTATTTATTTAAAGTACCAGGACATTCTTGTAGGCTTTTTAAAACTAGAATCTAACACTATCTGTCTCCACCTGTCCATCTGTCCATCTATTCATCCACAGACACATGCACTGAGGCTTTTTATAGTCCACTTATCTGTCATTTACTCATTTAATATGTGTGTGTCCATGCACACGTAAGGTCAGGAGACAGCCTGAGGGAGCTGGCTGTCTCCTTCCACTGTGTGGGCTTCA